GTTAGATGTTCTAGATGTTTGCTAAAGTGTTGCTAGTTGGTTGCTAGGATATTCTGGGTGGTTGCTAGGCTCTTGCTATGCAGTTGCTGGGGTGTTGCTTGAGTATATGGTTGACTTGATAGAGTTTGTTCTGGGTGATTACAGACATTCCCACCTCTGTTAATAACAGAAAATCAAACATTGTTTTCAAAACTGATCCAGTTTCAGTGCTTTGATATTATTGTATTTCTTTCTAATGTCAGGAAATTCAAAAGTTTTTGTTGCTCTTAAACTTGCACTAAATGTGATTATACCATCTAAGTAGCCTATGTAATTTTAATAGAACTGCATATCTTCTTTAGTGATACAAGCTCAGAAACATTTATAACCTGTTGAAGTTTTTTATATTATGTATTGACTTGGTGCCATGATGGATATTGCAATGTTGTTATTTATTTTTAATTTTAAACAGTATACAGTGTTAAACCCCTAGGTTTACGGCTTTTGGGGGTGCCTGGTGTGAATAGCCCTACAGAGATCTATTGTTTCATATTTGCACCGAATTTTCGCATTCAGTGTGAAAAGGCTTTTAGGTGGTTTGTGGGTCTTAGCTGGTGTTTCAAGCTGGTTTAGCTTGTCAGCTAGCTGTCATTTTTGGTATTTTTAGGTATGGTTTGTCCTAAGGACTAGTTCCAAAGTGCTTCTTTTATTTTTGCAAATGAAAACAATATGCGTTCTAAAGTCGGCTCAAAATATCAAATGTCTGATATCCTCCGACTGGGTAAAATCATAGTCTGGAGTTAAAAAAAATTAGTTTGTGACAATCATGCACTACACAATTTTCTATGAAATCTGTCAGCTCAAATCTGCAGTTTTTGCAAATAGTGTCAGCTTGTCCAGACTGTAAATCAGAGCAAAAATCTGGGCAAAAGTTGTATGTCAGTCTTAAAGGTCCCATGACATGCTGCTTTTTGGATGCTTTTATATAGGCCTAAGTGGTCCCTAGTACTGTATCTGAAGTCTCTTCCCCGAAATTCAGCCTTGGTGAACCTCATAAAGTGAAATTTTCATGACATGGGACCTTTAAGTAATAATTTGTAAAAAATAATCTGTTGCTTATCTTCTTTTACTCACTGCACTACTTTAAAGGGGTCCTATTATGCTTTTTCACTTTTTTAATTTTAGTCAGTGTGTAGTGTGTATGTTTGGGCATAAAAAAGATCTAGAAAGTTACAAATCTCAAAGTCC